TATGCCGCGAAATAACACCAGACAGGGAGAGAGAGAGAGAGAGAGAGAGAGAGAGAGAGAGAGAGAGACTGGTGTAACATCCCATCCACAAGCAGATGCCAGGTCACGTGTTTACTTGTTCATGCAGGCATACACACTGTACGAGCACTTTTGTCATTTCCCAGTGAAAATGAAATGCCTCTCGAGCCTGGCAGACAGTGCATCTGACTTTCAAGAAATTCCACAAGCGAGTGCTTTCTGGAACTAAACGGGTGCTGCAAATCCTCTTACAATCCTCTTAGACAGCGTGACAGCGAGGGGGGAAAAAAGAAGAAGAAGAAGAAGAAAAAAAAAAAGTTTCTCCTAGGCAAACATGTGCAGGTTTGTTAGGTCAATGTCGCGCTCAGGGGAAGGACACACTTACCGGTTCATTTTGTCAAGATTGTAAAAGAATATTAATACGACACGTAGCCTACAGGACGTTGCAGAAGCGCAGGACGGTGACATGAGACTCAAGGTATGACTTCAGGGAAAGGATGTGAACAGCTTCTTTTTTTATAATTAAGTCTTTATGAGTGTAGGGGCCTTACACTTTATAGTGTTTGGTACGAGGACAGAGGGGACACTGTTACGATTCACTTTTAGTTACAGGTGTACCAATGACCCGGCAGAGGATTCCAGGCCCTTAAGGCAGGACCTAGGGTTCTACCATGAATAAATGTAAAGTAGTGGCCTTGACCCTAGTTAAGATCTTCTAACCCACTATTCTATTTTAAAAGTGCCTCACAAAACTGTCATTTTGAGGACTTATCTGAGACGCTGCTGGCAACTTTGACCAAGTCACGAGTCAGGAGTGTGGCGCTGCTGTTCTTCAGAAAAAAATTCATTCAGTGAAGAAAAAAAAAAAAAACAAAAAAAAACTTAACCTTAACGAATCCGGTCTATCAAAACCAGTAAAAAGCCAACCATTTCAGTGACATATAGATGAGAAGTTCAAGATGACGCCAGAGATTAGTCCAAATGTGCACGGTTTTGTGGCGGTGTGTAAAAAATGGAAATAATTGGGGATTAGTGACTTCCTTTATCTACAATTCCATCAGTGTGGAAACATTTTAAATTAAAAAGCAGACATGTGGCCACTCGCAGTTCCTGCAGTGTGACCATTAGACTGTGTTACAGCACGAGGGCTGATTCATTATTTTCTGCAGTGGTGGCCTGTGACCTGCACTGATAAGATATATGGTTTGTCTGAGGAAAAAACAAACAATGGAAACAACACAAAAAAAAATCAGTGCCACAGTCTCCCCAGTGCACTTTTATATTGGATGAAATTCTGCCGCTGAAATTAGGATTTAAATGGCCGACAACAAGTACCAGCCGATCCAGCCAGTGTGTCTTTAGGCTCTCCAATTTCCTCAGGATTCTCAAAAATTAGTTTCCTCTTCCGCTCTGATTGCTATTTACATATTTGGGTAAATGAGCATGGGATTGGGTGGTTTGTTTGTCAGTATACTTTTAGCTTTTTCGATCTCCTTTGGGCAACAGATAGAATTAATGTCTGTCGAGACTGTGATTGCACACATGAGGAAACAGGAGGTTTTGTAAATGAAAAAAACAAACAAACTGTCAATTACAGCTCTACCATCATATAAGACTCTGGGGGGAAAGATTCATTTGGGTTGTGATTTAAATTTCTCTTGCGTTAGAATCACAGAGACAATAATTAGCTTGTTCACACGGGTTTTTCCTTTTTAAGAAGGACTACAATATACTCAATATTGTTGCCAAATTTGGACTACGTACTGCTTTTGCATCTTCTCGTCAGTATCTCCCTCCCTCCCCCACTTAGTTTATCTGCTATCTCCTTTACTCCTTAATTACTTGTTGGAGGGAGGTTGGCTGTTCCCCGCACGCCTGCTGTTTTGGTCATTACATGACCCTGTAGGAAGTGGAGAGGCTGCCAAAGGAGCTTAGCAGAAGACATGAGATGGTGATGTGTCTGTACTGACCTGGGGTAAATGAGGACAACTCTTCCTGCTGGCTTTGAGGCCTGTTCTGCCCTCAGGGGCCGTCCTGATGTTGAAGAGCGCCTGAAGAGCACACTGGGCCGCCTGAGTCTTGGCCAGCTTCTTGCTGCGACCGCAGCCCTCAAATATCCGTCCGTCCACACGCACTGCCATGACAAAACTATGCAGCCGCCGGCCCTCGGCCCGCTCCGAGAGACAGGCGTAACGCAAGCCTGGTCGGAGCTCATTCAGCAACGCTACGGGGCTTTTGGGGGTGTCGGGTTCTGGAACAATCCCACCTAGTCTCTGTTGTGCCTGCACCATGAGGTCCAATGTGTGGCGAAGCAACCGTCCATGTCGCAGTAACTCACTCGATAGTAGCTTGCTTTCAGCGGCCGAGTTGCAAAGAGAGAGGCCGTCAGAGCAGGAGGAAGACTCGAACTCCTTGAAGAGTGTGTCGGAGAAGTCCGCCTGGTCTGAGGTGAAGTCAGCCGAAGGGTTGGAGATGTTTCCCATGGCCAGGTGGGCCTGAGGAGCATTTGGGAACTGGACGAAGGATTTGAGCGCCAACTCTGCAGCCCTCATCTTTGCCTTCTTCTTTGTGGGCCCGGTGCCCTCGAAGGTCAGCCCATTCACCTCCACAGCGATGGAGAAGACAGGGGCGTGGACCGGCCCAGTTTGAGACACCACGTGATACTGCAGGCCAGGTCGCAGTTCATTCAGCTGCACCAAAGCATTCTTTGGAGCCTCAGACCAGGACAGTTTTTTATAGATCAGACGGAGTTGACACAAGTGGCCGTTGTTGTCTTCCTCTAGTGGTCTTTTCCTCTTCAGTCCAGAACTGGCGCTTCTCGCGGAGTCGGAGCAGAAAAGCGACTGGCACTCTGCGGATCCTATAGTGCGATCCTCCAAGTTACCGATGTTACGGTTTTCCTTGACATCTGCACTGCTGGTACCTGCAACAAGAACAGTCAGACTTACTGCCGTGTAAGAACTGATTGGGAATATACACTTGGCACAAAGGGACACATTTATCCTGCCTGAACAAAATTAATCAAGCAAAATCTCTCCAGGCAGATTGAGCCACTTGACACACAATGGAAACGTAATGAACAAATCTGCAATCCCGATTCGAGCCCACTTCATACCACTGCGCTCTATCATATTTGATAAGTGTTTTAAAATCCAAAAACAAATCCCATGAAAATGGTGGTGTTATCCGCCAAATTATCCTGTAATCTCCCAAGAAATTGGTTTTGAATCTGTGTTGTAAAAGTGGGAAACATGGGCCTCTGTGGCCAACAGCAAAGCAGCAATCCTATTTGCAGGGTGGGAAGGGATTCCGCGAGTGACAGGCCGGGTGAGAAAGGATGAGAGAAACGTCTGTAGCCAGCTTTATTTCACACTACTATTCTCCGTGATAGCAATGTCTCAGCAGCTGTGACACGCTTTTCAAACTTAGTTACAGGCTGTGTGATGCTGCACTGCATTTCTGATCGCATAAAATAGATTGTTCACATCACGAAAATGCTAATAGAGGATTCACCGGTTGGCTGGAGGAGCTACACTGATGTATGAGCAGACATTTATTTAGATTTTGATCAGTTTGAGAAGCATGTATGAGCAGACATTTATTTAGATTTAATCACAAATTCCCCAAATTTAAACGTTTGACAGATCAGTTTGAGAAGATATATTTAGCATACAGGGTGACTAGCAACTATATGTCTAATAATAAATTACGATTGTGATTAAAATATAATTTCCAGAGCAGGCTGAACACATTGGGAGTTCGTGCTATGCTGACAGGAAGGAAGACAAGAGGCAGCCACTTACTTAAACTGTCCTCGTCCTCTGTGCTGCTGGTCCCAGGGCTTATGTACTTGAAGGGAGCGATCAATGCCGACAGCATACTGACTTTCTCTGGAGGAGAGACAAGAGACATGCAGAGTCAACATGAGGGCAGCGGAGGAGATGTTATATATGATAGTTTTATTGATCAGATCAGCTCGGGTCTAACGATGAGACAGAGACGGAGACGGAGCGTAAGTGACCTGGAGTACGCACACTGGGCGGGGCCTCACTGTCAAACACCAACATGAAAAAAAGTTGGAGTTCACACAAGGAAATGAGCGTAAAGCTGATTCCAAAGCCACGAAACACAAGTTAAAAAAAAGATCTGGGGCAATGAATCATTAGGTCCTATGTAGTACGTATGAAAGATACTTATTATTATTATTTTTTTTAAAACCTTTTTAAAACCTTTTTTTAAATCCAGACACTTGCATTAGTGTCCATCAATCACCTCCCCATATTATAGTATAAATATATATTTACTGTATATATATTTTGATCTTTTCTATTATCTTGATTTAGTGTATGTATCTATATATGTATATAATTATTGACTGCTGGACACAGACGATCACACACAAATATGTAGGCGCATGTGTATATATATATGTATATATAGTATGTATTTATGTATTTATATACAGTATGTTTTCCCTTGATTAAATGATATTGAGGTATATGACTAGAATTATAAGATTATTTATATATATAACTTTATATATTTATATATATAATTTTATTATAAATATATTCATTAAAATGAATATTTTATATATAATTGTTTATATTAATATTTATATATTTTTTCCACCACCACAACAGTTGCAGTGCACACATCGTTATTGTTTGTTTTTGTTTAAAATATAAATATATATATAAATATATACATATATATATTTTACAATGTTCATAAGAAAGTGTATTCATTTTGGAAGGAACTCTGGGACAATTTATTGTGACACTGACTAACTGAATGACGAACACCGAAACAGGAACATACTTTACAGTATATTGCCAACCTTTAACAGTCAAACATACATAAAACACATCCTGTTCTGCCGCTGTTGTATTTAGACCTCTCTAAATCCTCTGCTGCAGCCAAACAATTCTGCTGGAAACTTTCCACCTTATTGGCACTAACTGGTCGACAGCATCTCTCCCCCGTGTCCCGGGGGTCTGCTGCTGTCCAGGTGTGCGTGTTGTTTACAGTGTGGAGCCCGATTAAGGCTATCACTTGTTTTGGTGCTCTCCACGCAGCACGGAGCAGAATTGACATTCCTGTCTGCCTCCGTAATTATGGACTCTCTCTCTTTTCCCAACATCAGCCGATGATCAATAAAAGAGATGAGAAGTCACAGGGGCGCGGGTAACAAACTGAGCGTACGATAAATTTAGGTCAGTGTATGAATGAAATAAGAGGATGAGTCGGAGGTCAAGACTTTGTACCACCCCCCATCCCTTCCTCCTGCGGAAATATTTTGGCCCCAGGGACAAACGCTGTGTACGTGCTGTGCTCCATTACAGTGCAATAAACATGTTCTGATATCAGCACAGGCTTGTGAATAAGATGCCCTGCCCCTTCCCTCCCTCCCTCTCTTCCCCCCCCCGGCGCTCTGTCACTCTCAGCAGCACTAGAGGGCATGCCAGCGACGCATAAACTCCCAACACTGAGTCTGGAACTGTGTGAGCTCCGGTGGGCCAACATCACAATAAAAAGCGTTTGCATTTTGACCTAATTATGTGCCAAATGCCCAACACAAGCGGCAATTTGGCCCAGCATAACTCCCACAGCCAACAGGGTCATTATGGGGCCATTTCCAAATCAGTCCATATTGTTTTTTTAAAGCCTATTCACAGACAAACATGGCTTCGTTTACAGAAGTCATCACTTCGGTGTTAAGTGTCTGCAGCCTTGTGTGCTATATATATATTTGTCGCATTTTAACATACAATGCATATGTTGCCATTGTAGAATAGCAGAGCAGTGCACACAAAAAGCATGAAATTCAACAGTGAGGTCAATAGTTAGCACCTAGGAACAGAGGATTTCAAAAACAGGGCTTGAACACTTAATGACAATCGTGATTAATCGTGATGGATTTTGATGAATCCCCTGATAACCTGTGACTAATCCGTTTAAAAAGTTTGATCATTTGACTCTCAGTGTACTCCAAAAGAAACACTCGAGCCCATTGGTCACAGTTTGAGACCCCTCTTGAAGTCAATAGCTGGGACTCAAGGACAGGAAGTCCTAAAGATACTACTAACGTCTTACGCACCGGATGATGGACAGTGATCCTGACATAAAGTATTGAGTAATAATTTACATAAAAAGGGGGAAACAAAGCCTCAGCATTAACCTTGGTGCTTGCTGGTGCCCACGAACGACCACCGGGCTGTGGTACTCTTCTTCTGTATTCAGAAGATTTTTATTCAAATGACCGAGTTCACACTTGAGGAGTCAATGGAGCCTTTTCTCTCCAGGTCTGTATCATTTCAAAACAATTCTTCTCACTTTCAAAGGGCCGTGGCTCTATTCAAACGTCTCAGGAAATAGCCTATTGAGAAGGAAATCTCCTGTTTTCAGAAACGCCGACGCTGAATCAACCGTGTGCGCCGCTCAGTACTGCGGTTTAGAGGTCATCCTCCAAATGCCACCTCTGATCGTTTTCTGACAGCTTTATGAGGCGTAAGGGCGGGCACACGCCGCTCTGATTTATGAGGCAGATGTGTGTGTGTAACATCAGACGCTCTTTATTGGTGTTTTCCTCCAACGCAGCACATTTTGCGCCAGGTAGCTTAAAATACGCTGAGTAGGGCGTAGAACGTAAGGCACAGTAACCCTGCGAGTACCTGGAAATCTGTAGCTTCAATATGACGGCCTTATCATTAGCATTAGCGCCATCTGAGAGGAACAATTCTTAGAACTCGACTCAAAACAAACCCTTGAGTAGTTGTTAAATATGAACATAAATACGTCAAAGTGACCTCTCTGCACACCAAGAAAGTCCATACAGACCTTTAAGGAAGTTTGGTTTTGCTTTTCCACCATTGACTGTAGTACTTTAGCTATGTCTACAGTGACTGTATCAGAAGGCAAGTTTTCTTGGTCAAAAAGTGAAAAACAATACCATAAACTCCATGCTAGAACATTGTACACAAAATGCGATACAGCAGAGCGACATCTACCTGCTGTTATTTATAATATACAGGGCTAGAACATTGTACACAAAATGCGATATGCAATATACAGATTTCTTCCATACAAGATTCTTGATTTAACTCTCATAAGTACGAACGAAAATGCAATCTTCCGAGAGCCCTAGGACAATTTTGAGAGATTTTGCAGATTTCTAGTCCGAAGCAGAAGCTGAAAAGCAGAAAATTCCCGACTGTCTTAATGTTCCTTGACGTGCCCTTCAAACTCACTGCATTTGCACACGACGGCCGCAAGACACCCCAGCAGAAGGAGTAGCAGAATGGCCTGGAGCCACAGAAGAATCAGACCAGAGAGTGAGAGTTGTGGCCAGAGGGACTCACGGTAGTGATAGTGACAACATTGGTGTCACAAGTAGATGGAGGGGAGTCACTCACTTCCTCACACTCTCTCTTTCTCTTTCTCGTTCTCACTCTGCTTTCTGAATCAGCTCTAAGAATAATGAGCTCAATCAGATTCTCCCATGGTTCAGCATAACGAATGGGTCAGATGAGCGACGCGAGACACTATTTAAACAGGCGCTGGGGGAAATCATTGACTGCCAATCTTGCTGCCTCTGTTCACAACCTCCCTCCCTCCCGCTCTTTTCCTCTCTCCCTTCTCCTTGGTCTCATTTTTCTCTCAGCGTCTCCCTGCGTGACTCAGTTCGAAAAAACCACCGGGCCACTAAGCGAATCTCTAATTTGTGTTTCGCTGAAACTTGTGTTTTCCTTCACTCTGGAATAATACCTAAGGACAAAGTCATAAATATTGACTCTGTGTTAGCAGTCTATTAAGGATGGTATTAGTCAATATTACGGTGTATAAAGCATTTGTACTGGGTATGTGAGGAGTACTCAGACAGACAGTGTCAAGTCAACAAACATCTGTTTTAGTTCTGGAAGAAAATAAAAAGTTATCATCTTCAACATATCAAGTCCATATATTGCCAGATAAAATAATATATGTATTTTAAAAAAAAATTCAATAATGAGTATCCTAAGTCCCCTAATGGTAGAAAGGAGGATTACACCCAGTGTAATGTTTTTTTAAACTTTGTTGTTCTGTTGCAGGAATTAACTAAAAATATAATATAAATGTTTAAAAAATAAAATGCACTTCTCAAGTGCTTTTCTGGTAATGTTACTCGTAATTGTATTCATGTATTTATTTATTTTTTTACGCTGAGCTAATTTGCCAGAGCTAAACTATTACCAGCTCTAACAGGTTTATTGCATATTGCACATGACAGTATTGTAATGAACAGTGATGGCGACAAATTATATTAAACTACAGTTTTAAATAAAAAAATGTAATTAACATTTACATTTAAATAACTAATTCAACTTCTGCTGTGGTGATAATTAAGACTTGATCTCTACAACCTGTGAAATATTATTCAGATTCTTATGAGCTTTATATTTAAACGTAACATTTGCCTAAAGCTTTATCTTTTAGACACATATCAAAGCCTCGAAAAACAAAAAGTAACTGTACTGATATTATTACCAGGGGACAGACAGAAAAGTGATGCACAAGTGCAGACTGATGGATATTTAGCACCTGATTAGCAGCAGTGGGGGCAAAGTAGCCAGGCCATCTGCTTTGAATTTGCAACGCTGGCCACGAATGGCAAGGACACAGAGTCATCGCCATAGACACCGACCCTTCATGGTGTCTGTTGTGTCAGTGTTTTTGACCAGTTCTTACAGGGCTGAGCTCTGGTTTTTCTATATCACCTTCATCAGGTTATTTGACATTTTCTATGGATACAGTGGAAACACGGTGTACACTGATGAAGATCTGTAAACAAGTGAATGCAATGGTTCTTCAAAAATTAAACATTTTGATCGCACGATCAGAGATTTATTGT